CCGTACGAGCATCAACATACCCATCTTTTTAACATCTCATCAAACATGCCATACTCTACTGCTTAACCTTGCTAACTTCAACCTCAAGCTTCAACTCACCAGGTTGACAGGTCGTGTCGGTGGTATAATAAAACTGGCCCATAGTCCAGTTAGTATTCTGCCAGTTTGTGGTCTCACATTCAAGCTCCACGCTGCCGGTAGCTTGCCCAAGGTACGTTTTCCTACTCGATCGTCAGCCATGAAGCTCTTCACCGACAAAAGGTGTCCAGAAGTTCAAGGAGGCGGGAAGAATGATTACGCACCTATCGTCCGTCCACGTCTGATTAATCACAAACGTATTCAGCGGCCTCGCGTACGTAAAATTAGTATTGTCCCCGCATTGGTACACAATCTCCCCATAAAACATGTCCTGCAGGTGCATGCCGCGCGCCGTGCAATGCGATACAGTCTTTGGCTGCACAGCACTGTTCGTCAGGTTGAAGGAGATGTCGCCGCCGTAGACGGCGAGATGGGCCGGGGTACTGTATATCATGTTGGAGTGGTAGGTAATTTCGGAGAGGGTGAAGATTGGGTGGGGTTTGCGGGGGGAGAGAGTTTCGAGAGGGGCGGTGAGGGAGAGGGTGGAGAGGGAGAGGAGGGAAAGGGCGGCTGTAAGGAGGTTGACCATTTTGATAGGTAGAAGACTGAAGCGGCTATGTGAATTTCAGAAATTGGAGTAGAAGTAGAAATTGGAGTGGAAGTAGAAATTGGAAGTGGCTGTCAACTTTAAGAGTGAAACTGATTGAAACTGAATCGGTGCGCTCAAAAGATACTGGGTGTCCACATCTATTTATCTCCTCATCGGAACGTTCAGTCGTAGAAGACCAAAATCACTCCATATGACGTCGATAAGTCTATTAATTAAAAGAGCTGAATATTTTAGAATTCGATAGAATCGGGGTACCCGCGTGCCCTTCTGCTGATTTCAACAGGTGATTTCAATAGTGCCCTATATTCAAGGATCCAATCAAGCCTTCTCACCATCCGTTCTAAGGCGCGCTCATGAGCAGATCTTACTGTGAGAATCTCGCTACTGGTGTTGAGTGGTGAGGTGTTATCGAATTCGAGGCGCAGTTACGAGCTAAAGTGGCGACCAATCTTTCCTCGGAGGTGGGAGGTGATAAAAATAGTCTGTGATTACCGGTCTCCTTATCGATAAGAAATTTGGAATTCTATACGAGATAGATTGTGAGCTGTTCTACACATGTAGTACGTAATTCGTGCTGAGAGTCAATAAATTTCCAGAAATTTAGGGTTGTAATGCAACGTTTCAAGAGTCAGTAGCGTTTGTAGAACGTTAAGACTCTCTGCGTTGACGAGGTGTGGACTTAGACATCAGTCTGTGAGACCAGACGGGATCACAGGCGTACAAGACTCCGTCCTTACTTTCCATCAAATCCACTTGGTACGCTAGTTCATGAGTTTGTACGGCGTACGGCATGCGCCGTAAGCATACCATAATATGTTAGGATCCCCCTATGATTGAATACTAATCTCAAGACAAGGTCGAAGCAATCGTAAGCAGGAGCCAAAGCATTTTCTCTTTCTCTCCTCTTAAAATCTCGGCCAACGCATCACTGACTCGAATCTCTTCGCCCTTCGGGCCCAATCCAAATTTCTGGGCTGCGGGCCGCTGACCAAGCTCGCTTCAAGATTTCAGGATTTGTGCCGATCCGGTTCCAAAAGGCTCCTCGCGGCTCGGTTCCAGGTCTCGGGAATCAAAATCTGGCGGGTTCCAAGCATGGATTCTCTTTTCGTATATGAGAGATAGACAGTTAGAAATTGAAGCTGGGAAGGCCGAAAAGTAGAAATTCACTTGTTACAATTAAACATAGAACTGCCACTGAGTTTTAACTTTGCGGGGATGATTGAAGGATTCAGATTTCACGTGCGAAAAAGCTACCGTGAACGCAGGAAGTTGATAGTGGCTGCAGGATCACGCGGAGCTTGTTTCTGAGCTCGTGGATGCCACGAGAAATTGGGTTTGAAGATGCATCTAGCTGTTTCTTTCACCTGAAATCAAAATTCCCTTTGTTCCTTCCTCCTCCAAAATGGCTCAATCAGACCCTGAATAGCTTCACACTGGCCCCACTAGTCCAAAAAAACCACGCTCAACAATCCTATCAATGAATCAATCACTAAATTTCAATTTGCAGCACTGTTTCTTCATCAAAAAAAGGCCGACTGGCCCAATGGCAAGGCGCTTGACTACGAATCAAGAGATTGCAGGGTAAGCTTTCTTTCTAATTCATACTTATAACATATATTGATCTATCTTCAGTTCGATCCCTGCGTCGGTCAGTAATATCAATACTTTTTTTCGTTTTTTGACACTTCTTTTTTTTTTTGCTCATCTTTTTTTTGGTAGTAATTCGTGTTGTGCGTCGCAATGACGGTTTGAAGTTATAAGCAGATTGCGGTTCACGTGATCGCTCCTTTTAACGTCGGGGTTATCTGATAATACATTGCTTGGTTTTTTGCGCTTTTTATTTTTGTGCGTCCACATCCGATTGCTGAGGCTCTCCGGGCTCTTCGGATTCCCATTCTACGGCCGTAATGCGCGATATGATTCGTGCACTTGATGTTGCTCGGGCACTCGGCAAGGGTCCTGCCCGGAATCCAGACTACGGGAGAATTTTGAAGGTTTGCGCGGACGAAACTAGCGTTTATCGGGGGTTCCAATGAACCAGTAAGACGTACGACCCAGAGAACTAATTATGAACAAGAGGTTCGAGTCAGAGTCGACCATTAAGACTGTGAGACACGAGTCGCCAGAGCAACGAGAACGGTATCGGTAAGGCGTAGGAGATAGTTGAATTATGGGTATCTAGATAAATGACATAGCGAACAAAAAACGTGCGAGTAATATTAAATGCGTATGCCCCCTTATTGCTTGCCATGCATCCTCTCTGGCCATGATTCCGCGTCTTCACTATGGGTGTCTCCGCTCCATGTCGCTGGCGAGTGCTGCTGGCTCTCCAAATCCCTTCCTACTCTTTCTTCCTCCATCTGTACTTCTGTTGTCAACCATATTTCTCCACCTTTGCAGGGTTCATCTCTTGGAAGGATATCCTCCTCACTGTGACTGTCGATTGTCCTCAGATCCTTCAACTTGATAGCATTGGGGCGGGTACCCGAACGCGAGGCGTTATATGAACCAGTCATCTTCGACCTTCCGGACGTTGTCCTGTCACCCATTTCTCCATATGATCCGCCGTAGGTAGTCGCCTTTGGTAGGGAGATGAGGTTGAAGTGGGAGAGAACGCGTTGGAAAGGCTGCTTCAAACAGGGAATGCATGCCGCGATGAAGCCGACCAGCTCTTCCAAGCACGACCACATGCCCACATTGATGCCTTCTGCTGTTCCGTCCCCTGTTGCACCAAATTTGGTTGCAGCAACGACTTTGGCGATGGATGCACCCGATGCGAAGAGTCCTAGAGCCATCAGGATCCCGATGATAATACGCTCGCGAAGCGGCCTTTGAACCTTGCGAAGGAAGGTGATAGGGATGAGGGAGAAGACGATATCGGTGGCGACATTAACCACGGAAACGCTGATAGAACTTGTACGGATGGCCCGGTCACTCCAGCATTTTTTTTCTACCACGCCCAGAAGATCCCAAGCACCGCGCAAAGGAATACATTGGAAGAGCTGGGCAAAGGTGTTGTAGATTGCCATGATCACCTGGATCACAATCATGGCCCACAGAAATCGCCGCCAGTTGGCTTGTTGTTGCAACCGGAGCAGCATGGCGGCGATTCCAATCTTGATTGCGGCCATAGACCAAGCCCAGATGGGCTGTGCGAGGAGGGCAAGTCGGAATGCATCTTGAACATCGGCCAGAGTGACGGTTGCGGGGTCTTTGTTGAAGACCCATGGTATCGTGGCCAAGAGAAGAATCGAGTCTACTAGGACAAGGATCTAACGGAAATGAATAATCATGGTCAAACACAGACCCGCCAATTGGTGGCGTGAGCATGTCAACTTACGTATGCCACTGTGAAAATGTAGTCGTCCCACTGAAGTCGAAATACCGGGTGTGATCTCGTCCATACCCGGCCGGAGAAGACAATGAAGGCGATGATGTTCAATGGAATGGCCACTCCGGCGAATGCATGGCCCAGGTTGATCGCATTCGGGCTAAGAACAGCAGGTATCGTGCTTGGGTCGGGCGGTCCCATTGGAGCTCCTCCTGGCGGGCCCGGTGTGGCCATGATGGTTGTGGAAAGATAAAAACTGAAGCTTTTGACCTAGGTTGTCAGGAGGAGAAGGAGGAGTAATAAAAGCTGAGTATTAAGATTCTCCCGGCTCATATTGCAGCGAGAATGGCTTTAAAGAGATTGCCCAGGTGCGGGAAAGGTCGAGCATGAAATGTAGTACGCTAAATTAAACTTCGATGCACGATACTGTGGCCATCCTTGGTCAATACGGTGCAACAAAACGAAGAGGGAGGGAATAGAGCGATGAGGTGTAGGTTGTAGCGTATATCATAAGTAATGGCCTCCTTTTGACGGCTTGGGTCTCGATAAATCGTGATAGGTCGCCGAGGCTAATTGGGATAGCATCAAACTCTATCTCCTCCCCGCTGATGGGCCCTGCGCTAGCTGAGGAAATCGATCGAAAATCTTCGAGATGGTCTCATGGGAATGACTCAGGGGTCCAGCCCGCGAAGCTGAGACGAACCATGATGGTATGTGCCCACCATAGCGTGCAGGAGATGGGGAGGAGACGGGAGAGAACAAGGATTGATAGGAAAGGAGGGAACTTGAGAGGGGCATTTTCTGCAAAACCGACAGCAATTCAATATTCAAACCTTGCTCCAAATTGAACCGTCCCTCCAAAACACCTGAACCAGACCTGATCTGAGACAGGCACCCAAATTTGAGGCGAAACTCCTGGATGGTCTCGAGTAGCTTTACCCCGCAGGATGGCTAAAAAGGACTCGCTTCTCGGCCAGGGGTTAGGGCTGAATTCGAGGAAGTGAGTTTATTGCCGACGCGAGGGGCTGGATATTGTACGAAGTAGGGTTAAGTCTACTCCTTATTTCAATCCGAGTGCGCGTTCCGACTGTGCACTGTGGAGATCATAGCTAGAATTCTGGTAACAGGGCTGGCGAGTGTGGGGAAGTGACCAGGGAGCTTCAAACACAATATTGATGCAGAGATGATGCTGGAGGCCTTCGACTTTTGCCTACGGACAGATTTAATTGAGAGAAATAGGATAGTCCTATGAAGTTTCGCGGTAATACTTCAGTCATGTGTGCAGCAACACCGATCCAGACCTTCTTCTGCAATGATATGCTGCTTCTTCGGTTCCATGATTCTGTGGTGTTGCAGCAGTGGAGTATGAATGCCAAGCCAGAGGGTTCAAGATTGGGGTTTAAGTCGAGAGCTAAGTACGGAGTATGCGAGACAGCTACATTGTCATCAGTCTGCCACTCAAAGGCAGTCTTATCATGTGGATCTTCTATTTTGACTCGCTAGACCAACGAAGCTTCAGTGGGAGGGTGACTTGATTGCAGTATCCTAGATCTGGAATTGTTTAGGATATGCTCACTCGTTGTGTGCAAGATCTGTGGGCGTCGATGCTGGACAAGTTTGTCGTGAGAATTTTCGTAGCTTTGAATTTCTGCTTGTTAAAAGATTAGCGTTGCATGGCGAGTGGCTCCGTATGGAGTCGAACATGCAGTGCTCGGAGAGGGCGATATGAAGGATGGGTAGAGACTGTGACGTTCAGACATTCAGGTTGATGGGAGGGACCAGCGAAGTAAGCACCAAAAGTCACGTTACTACGATACCACCGCTTTCTAAGCTTCCTTTCTACAGTATTTCTAGGGCTTGGGCTTGTTTCACTCAACACCAAATTCCTCCACATCGCCGTCAACGTCTACCCTAAGGCAACTCCCGAAGAGCCTCAAAATGCAACTCCAACGATTCTTTGTAGTAAATACGACATCCGATGACGAAATAGCCACTAACAGCTTGCTCCGCTAACGCAATTTTCCTTCCGAGCACGACATCGCCTTAGTAGAAGTGAACCATGTCCGTACAACCAAACTGTTGGGTTGAAACAACACAATTCCGCCGTATCAGCGATGATGTGTCGATTTGTTTCTTCCATGACCTTCCTTTTTGAGCTGTCATTGGTCTGCTAGCGAACAAGATGAACTGCTAGATATTATTGATTGCATGTAACCCAAGACTTGTGTCGCAACCTCCAACAGCTGGACTAAGGATGACGTGAACTCCTTTGAAAAGCACGGCGTTGGCGCGAGCTATCACTAGTACCCTCATATACTGATGCCTATGCCACTCTTCAAGATCTGAAGTTACACGATCATTTCGACTTCGACATCCTAGATTCTGGTTCTACTTTGAACCCTGCCCAATATGGGAACCAAGGCGGACACGAGGGACACCTCGAAAGGACCGCTACCTAATATTGAGGACCGTAGTCCGCCTCCAGAGTTTGAAGTAGTGGTGAAAGATGAGAATACGTATAGTTACTCTGACTCGAGGAAGATGGGTGTCACTGGCGCTGTCTTCCTCATTCTCAACAAAATGATCGGCACAGGCAGTAAGACCTGAGCACCTCGAAAGTAAAAGGAACACAAAAGCTAACCCCCCTAGTCTTTTCTACACCGTCTGGTATATTTGCTGCAACTGGATCCGTGGGTGTCTCCATTGTGCTCTGGATCATCGGCGGGATCATCACCTTTGCCGGACTGAGCGTTTTCCTTGAATTCGGTCTTGCTATCCCCATCTCTGGTGGTGAGAAGAACTATCTGGAGCGCGTTTACCGTCGTCCAAAGTACATGGCGACTTGTATCCTTGCTGCCCAGATGATCCTGCTCGGTTTCTCCTCCGGTAATTCTCTTGCTTTCGGCCGTTATATCCTCTATGCAGCTGGCAGGGACTCTCAGAATAACGGGTGGGCTGCCCGCGGTATTGGCATTGCTTGCATCACCTTCGCCTGCACGCTCCATTCTCTCCTTCCTAAATGGGGAATTAGATTGTCGAACATGCTGGGCATATTCAAAGTGTTTATTCTGCTTTTCATCGTTTTCTCTGGCTTTGCGGCCCTCGCAGGACACCGAAAAGTCCCAAATCCTCATAATTTCGACAACTCTTTCCGCCTTGAAGTAGGAGATGGCTACGGTGGAGGAGGAGTATATGCATATTCTACTGCGTTGCTTCGGATCGTGTACTCCTACAAGGGATGGGAGAATGCCAACTATGTCATGAGCGAACTCAAAAACCCCCGGAAGACGCTCACCATTGCAGCGCCCTTGGCCATCGGTG